TATACAGTTAAAACAAATATAATACTGTATATAATGTATCATAAAACACTGACATAAAACCAAAAACATTGCAGTTCATGAAAATTCAGCATTATGCAAGCCCCCCCATCCCCCGACAAGAGACGGCAGTCTGTCAGAAATCTCTCCACAGAAAAAAAACTGCATGTCATGTGACTTAATCAAAGTACTTCATTGGCTAAACTAAGGTCTTCTCTTTCCAACAAAAAAAAAACGAGAATGTTCTCTTAAAGAGACAGTGGCAAGGAAATGAACACAAAGAGTATGTTGCCATATGGCTACACCATGCGGTAGAGGGTTAAAATAACATACAGGTCATATTAAAAATATATTAAACTCAAATCAATATTTATATCCATATATTTATTTATTTTGTGATTACTCATTATCACAATAATACATTCAGGCAACTTACCAGATGTATAAAACCTTTTCCATTAACACATAACAACAGATAAATAGCATACTTAAATGACTTAAATAATTATTCAGAATAGTTCTGCATTATGTTCCTATTATAGTAACAGTCAACTTCAATAACACCAGATCCTTTACAAGTATGGTGTACAAGATTGATTCCCTTTACTTTACGGAGGAAGGAAACTCAACCCCCTCCATTGTTAAATGTATTATTCAAGCAGAGTGAAGCAACACAAATAGAACAAGTTCCACTGGCCCAGATAGCTTTGTTTGTGGTTTTGCTATATACGTTAACTGCCTGACAACAATTGTATGAGACTCTGTCGTCAGAACAAAAACACTTTTATTTCAACTTTTTGTGACTTCGTCATATACAGTATAAGAAGCAGAGTACACAAACTTCTTCAAATGTCAAAAGAGTAATATTGAAAATCCTAGTCAAAACCTTTTGTCATGGTCTATTTCCTGTGCTCTCAGAACAGTCAGGGAAAGATGTGTTTATGTTCTAAGTCGGGAATTTAGAGATGAGATAATTGTTTGAATCTGCAAAAAATGGTACAGGATGCTTTGAATAACTTCCTATAATTTTCTACTTCTCCCCTGTGGGTTCATTTAGAGGAGATGCTTTCTATGCTTGCCTGCAAGCCTGTCAGGTCATCGCTATGCACTAACATAGCCTGTAATTCACTGTTCTCTTTCCCAGAGCTTCTTGCAATAGCATGTCACTTGGCTGGTTGCTTTGAAAGTGACGTGGTAATTAGCCTTTCTGTTTATTTAGCCTTCAGAATCACAGACAACACTGGAAAGAATGACCTGCAGAAGGAAGCAGGCCTAATTCAGCAGTTTTTTGCTAACATCACTTATGCTACACATGAGGCTTATAAAATTCTTGTCCAAGGACACATTGAGAGGAAATGTATTTTCAGTTGGATAACAAAGCATCAGGGACATCAACAATGTGTTAAGTCAACATTCACAATGAATTTAACCTGAAATAAATGTATAATAATTAGAACAATAATTTATAAAACTTTAGAGAGAGAGAGAGAGACTGAAAGGGGTGCCTGATAGTAGACTGATAGTGTCTAAAGTGCCCAAATATAGCTGCCTGGAAGTCAGATATTTTTCCAACTTGTCCAGAATGTCTATATGTGCATAATGTATCTAATGAGTTCAAAAATAATTGGCAAACCTGGTACACGACCACAGGAAGTGAAAGTTTTTTAGTTGTCCTCTGCCCTAGCTTTAAATGCCCTCTTTGGGAAGGTCATCTTACAGATCATCCTCAACCTCCTGTTTCCTATTTTTATGGGTCTCTTTCTGCAGCATCATCAGAATGAGTGTGTTCAAGCCTCTGGACAGTTTTGGTGGCATGTTCTGCAGTCATGGCTAGAGTCTGTTTACCATTATATCTACTGCTCTTCTTATTTACAAGCACACTCTGTCTAGATGTGAGTCAAATTCAAGGTAGGTTTATCTTTTTCTCTTGATTTCCAATTTTTAAGGGTTTGTGACTTTATACTTTTGCATTTTAATAAAAACATATTTTGTTGGTTGTTTTTAGTCCCTACAAATGGAATTTCTGGAGTATTGTTAGTCCAATCCATGACCAATGTGTACAGTTTTAATGCCACCACAGCCAAAGAGGCATGTGAGGCTATTAAAATGAGAATTGCCAAACAGGCTGAAGTGGAAACAGCAAACAAAAATGGCTTACAGACATGCAGGTAAATCACTATTTAAAGAGTGACATTAAATAGACATATAGTCAAATTAAAAATATTATTGTAGATATATGATATTGATCTGCTCTTTTAGGAAATAAGAATCTTATTTCTAAATAACATTTAAAAAACCTGGATGCCTTATATATGTCATTTCAAAGTACAATACTTTGTCATTTAAATATAACATGGGCCTGCTTGAATGTCCAGCACACACACCTTCAATACTACGATACACAAGATACACAATGAACCTTGAAGTTCAACTTTTAGAAGTTGGTTAAAAATTATATTTGAACTCTACAGTTTCTGTTTCTGCTAAGAGTGCAATATTATGCTTTCACACAGGTACGGTTGGGTTGAAGAGCAAATTGCAGTTATTCCTCGAATCGAGAAAAATGAAAATTGTGGTAAAAACAACTTAGGCGTTACTGTTTGGACAGTTAACATCAGCAAAATGTTTGACGTTTACTGTTTTAAGCCAGCAGGTGTGTACTGTGTGTATAATATGTTTCTGAAAATAAATGATAATAATCAATATCCTATATATTAATAAGGAACAATGATGTTTAAAATGTGATTAGGAAGAAAATAATACAATATGCCAATGTTTAGACTTTAGGTTTTGTAACAAACATATAATTATAATATTAAAATCAGTAATTAAATCTACTAACATTGTCAGTAAAATGTGCTAATCAGAATATGTCTCTCACAATGCACCTTAGGTCCTGGTGGATCATTTGAAACAACATCAAGCAGGCCTCAGCCTATAACAAGAGGAAGGACATCATCAAACAACGATTATTCCACTAAAACAACCCATCCATCATCCATTAAGTCAACCTCTTCTCCTGCCTACACATCTAGAGCCCTTCCTCTCTACACATCCACCCCATCCATTTCCTTTGCTTTCAACACTTCCTCCACAACATTTATAACACTTAGTCCTTCTAACATCAGTGACAGTTCCCAGGCAACGACAAGCCCTCTGTCTCTTTCATCACCCGAATTCTCAACCTCGTCCCCCTCGTCTTCCTCTCATTCATCCACTCAATTTCTTCTTCAGTATAATTCAACTCCAACAGGCCAGCCTGCATTGTCCCAGACCACAACACCTAACACACCGCCCATTAAAGGTTGGGTTTTGAAACTTAGATGACCTCCTTAATTTGAATGACTTTGCACATCAATTTTATCACATTCTTTTGTCGTTTTTATATTTTAGCAGCTCCCAAAACATTTGTCATCATTTCTGTCATGGTACTGTTCTTGCTGGTAGCGGCAGGTGCATCTTGGTATCTTAAAATGTAAGTGTTTAATCTACTGTCATGAGAAAAGAGTTGTAACATGCATACTCTTCACTGACAAGTGTGCTTTGCTTTAGTAAAAGAGGACAACGGTTTCCATCCTGGACCAGAATGAGGCGGAAACAGATTATTGAAACCGAAATGTGGAAACGATTAAGTGAGAGGCACTGTATGCCAGAACAGACCAGCAAAGACAACAACATTAGGAAATGCAACAACATCATCCTTCAAATGGAACAAGACACGGACTCACGCTAAAAAACACTGCATTTTTGTAAAAACACTGTAGGCCTAATTTGTTAAAAAAAAAAAAAACCTGTCACTGTAACTGCATGTACTCAGCACATTCAGATTTTTCTTCTGTAACACAGAAGAAAGAAAGTCATACTGATTTGGAACAACATTGTCATTTTTTGGGTGTTCAAATGTTACCTTGTTTTTAGTTTGCTGCTCATTTCATTTTCAAATATTATTTCACTTTCAAATATCAGTAACAGATGTAAATACTAATCTGTTCTTTAATAAGGCCATATGTTAAGCCTAAATGATAATAATGTGTACTCTTTAGTTGTAGGCTACTTGTTGACTTGTCTGTAGTATCAAGGTTCAATGGATTTTACCATAGAGCGTGCTGCTCGTGACATCATCAACCCGCGTCAAAGTTTTCTTGCTATTATCCTATTTGTCATCTTGAATATTTGCCTGGATAAAACAAATGCCAGCAGGTTTGTAGTCATTTATTTGCACGTTCTTGTACATTTGTAGCTTATACTAAGTGTTGGGTGTATTTGCGTTACGGTCTTTATGTATTGTTTCGGTTAGCCAAGCTAACACTAGTAACGTAAATGTTTTTATATCAGCATCGTCTAACGTTATATTTTAACCGGCTTTTCACATTCTGAAACAAATGTATATGGTTCACTCGTCTACTTGGTTGTTACATCTTTTGAAAGACAGTTTGTTATTTTTGTTAAACAATCGAGTTAGGTAAGAAGATGAATAAACACCTGTTCAGAAAGTATCGGTGCATGTTTATTATTACGAATAAATGTTGCGGGAATGATTTCAAAGTCTGCGAAGTGTACCACTAATGTCACTGACAACATGAGACATTCATCGATATCTATGAAAAATGACTGATGTTACATGAGTAATTAATACTAATATAAATAAGTAGTGTGGTGAGTCATTTCATATTAGCAGTTTAATATGATTCATTTTTGGCCATGCTTTTTTTTTTAGCACATCAGGTTCACATTGTTTCTCTGTAGATAGATGATTAATAATAACATGAGCATAAACTTCATTTTTATCAATATTTTGGGTTAAAATATATGGACAGCGGGGTCAATGTTTCACTTTCCATTCCTCTACAATTACAAATTATGTTTTTAGTCAAATCTGAGTGAAAGGTTCAATCAAAAAGTTTAATTATAAAGTGTAAACCATGATGATCATGTTATCCTGCTTGATTTGGGAATGATTAAAAAATATGATTCAAAATATCTATATTTTAGTTGCTGTGACTGGCCACCATTTCTTTTAACATTTTTAATCACATTTTAGCTTTTTGAACTTCACTTAAATATACATTTGGTGTGACAAATGAATTGGAAATACAAATTCAGTGTATGCTATCAATTAATATAAGGTCATAAAATTGAATGTGTAAGAAAATGCTGTTTAAATTAGTTTTTAATGAAGTATAACATGTCAGGCTGCATAATGTGTCATGTCAACATTCTCTCTTACCTAGGGCCTCCAGCAGTGAATGAGGTCTAGAGCTGTTTTGGAGCAGCCCTCCATCTGGAGCCAAGATGGGCCAGCAGCTTTCTGGCCAGGCAGTGACCAGACTGCCTGAGAAACTGATCAAACATGTGGGGCTTGTGCGTGACAGTGGCTACCTCACCTATGATGAGTTCTTGGGTCGTGTGGCAGAGCTCAATGATGTGTAAGGCTGCGTTTACACTTGGCATTAACATGCGATCACCTCACCGTGATCTGATCAAGCAGATCGGATCATCAGTCAATCAGGACACGGCGCGTTTACACTTGGCAACATCAGCTGACTTCTCGATCTGGATAACCGATCGGATCTGTATTTCCCGTGCAATATTTAAATAAGTCTGCGGTGCAAAGTCAACCTGAAGTGGATACAGGTCGCATGTTAATGCCAAGTGTAAACGCAGCCTAAGTGAGGTTTTAGGATTAAACATTTTAGTGACACAATAACCTGCTGGAGTTTGATAAGAACGTGACGTCCCATAAAAAAACATAATTTTATTAATAATATTAAAACTAATATTATAATATTAAATAGTATATTTAAAAAATAAATAAATAAAAATACAATGTAATTTCCCTCTGGTCCATCCTGTATATAATGTTTACCCAGAAAGTGTTTATTTTCCTGTAAGGGAAATCTGAATGTGAGCTTATGTTAGTAAAACATTCATATAGTTTGGACGTTAAATCTAATATTGAAAACTGTTTAAAAATAGTACTGGAACATTTTTTCTTTAGAAAATATTAGGACTTTAGTACATCATTAAAGAAAGCTTCAATCTGGGTTACAGCAAGGCACTTACAATGGAAGAGAAAGTGGCCTGTTCATAAATGTTTAAATACTCACTTTTTCAATTGTATAGCCACAAGATGTAAACAATATGCATGTTAAAGTGATTTTTGGTGTGAAACAAATCTCTTACTAACCAATTCTGTGTAAAATTATATTGAATTTTAGAACTTGTCACAATGACAACGCAATGCAATAAACCCTAATTCAATGGTTTTATATTCAATAATTAAATGTTTTTACATTTTATTTTAATTTTACATTTTTTTAAAGAGAATAATACAATAATAATAAAAAAATACAAATATATATTTATAAAGGTGCAAAAAGTAAGTATGAGCTCAATATATTTCCTGCTCATTTTTATGTTTGGACTTTAATCTGAAAACATACACATTATCCAGTTTGATGTGATGTGAAAGGTAATGTGGTTTCATTTTCTTCCACAGAACTGCTAAACTAGCCTCTGGCCAAAAGAAACATCTTTTGTTTGAAGTACAGCCGGGATCTGATGCAACAGTGTTATGGAAGGTTGCTGTGAGAATAGTATGCACCAAGGTGAGATTAATGTACACACCTCTGAATTTATAGGTAGAATGTATTAAAATGATTTTTAAAAAGTCAAACTATTTTCTAAAATACAGTCATCAATCATTTGCTCTACTGCAAATTTAAAATGTGTGATTGATGTTTATCTAGGGTGGGACGGCAATTGTTACTGCTCTCTCTGTGTGCTTGTAGATTAACAAGGAGGATGGAATGGTGGAGGCCTCCCGTATTATGAATCTGTACCAGTTTATCCATCTCTACAAAGACATCACCAGTCAGGCAGCTGAAGTACTGAGTTCAGAGGCTGCGGCAGAGGGATCCTCTGGACCGCTGTCATCAGAAGATACCTGCCAGGCCAGCATGTGGATGGGCAGGTACTTCAAAGACTGCGTTTGTTCTGTTTACCAAATCTGCACCTGGTGTAATGATGCATAATAGATGACTCTTTGTCTCACCAAGCAAAATTTGCTCTGTAACAGGGTGAAACAGTTGACTGATGAGGAAGAATGCTGTATCTGCATGGATGGGAAAGCAGACCTTATTCTGCCCTGTGCACACAGCTTCTGTCAGAAGTGTATTGACAAGTGGTAAGAATCTGTGATTCATTATCATGTTGTACCGAACCTGTATGACTTACTTTCTTCTGTGAAACACAAAAGAAGAGATTTTGAAAGATATTGGTTCCCATTGACTTCCATTTTATAGACGAAAAACACAATGTAAGTCAATGGGAATCGAAATAGTTTACCAACATTTGGTTACCAACATTCTTCAAAATATCTTTTGTGTTCAATAGAGGAAAGACAGTCATACAGGTTTAAAACAAGATGAGGATGAGTAAATGATGAGAGAATTTTCAGTTTTGGGTGGACTGTCTCTTAAATGGATCAGTTTACCTAAATAATTGAAATTGTCATTTACTCACCCTCATATTGTTCCAAACCTGTATGACTTAATTTCTTCCATGGAACACTAAAGCTGAATAATGTTTTGGTCAGAACTGTGACCAGTTCAGTTTTCAAATTTGTGAACTGAATCCAAGTTATATGTAGTTTTTCAAACCAAATGTAAGACTTTTTACGACCTACACAAATAAAATTAATACTATATGTTCCTACCGAACAAAGCCATACAATCTCAAAATAACTCATGTATCTCAGATTCTTTTCCTTAATTAAACAGGCCGAAAGTATAAAGGAAAAAAGTTAAACAGGTTTGGATCAACGTTATGACCATAAATAATAATGGAATCCATAAATCATTTTAATCAGCCATGACAAACCCAGCTCCATTGTGTGTCTGTGCCTCATATAGGAGCGGTCAGAGCCGAAACTGCCCCGTCTGTCGGATTCAGGTGACTGCCGCTAATGAATCATGGGTCATGTCAGATGCTCCCACGGAGGAAGATATAGCTGGGTACATTCTCAATCTTGCGGATGAAGCTGGGCACCCACACAGACCTTAAAATGAAGCCCTGTGCCACTGTCATACTGTCTCCCCATAACAGATGACCTTCTTTGAACAGCTGTTTCATTGGGTGACTGTGGGTATTTGTTGCACTATATAGTGTCACTCACTGGAGGCAATAACTGCTGATATTTTGACTTTTTAAAAAACAATTTTTAGGTTAATGCATCATATTATAACACCTGATCAATTCATAGACATGTGACTGTGAACTTTATGTAGGTAAATGCTAGACAACATGTAGCTGTAGAACTTCATTGCCTCGTTGCACTTGCCATTTTATCTTGTTTGTGAAGTAATTGCACTTAATTGCTTTTGTTTCGTAAAGGCCTTGTAATACCTGGATAAGTGTCACAGTATCAGCATGTGCAACAGTTTAATAGTATTGATGCTTTAATTCAGTCACACATGATTCCGTTACATTGACTGTACAGTTGATGTGCATTTATAATCTTAAGGTTTAATGGAATAACTGTAGTGATCTGTTTGACATGAACTCTTTATCTATGTGTAAGTTGGACCAAAAGTTAATTATAGGGCATGACTCCTATAACATTCATTATGAAACATAATTGGGATGAATTAACATTTGAGAGTGAACTAATTTGCTTGTTTTCTTTTGCAGCTTAATGAGTTGCAAACGAAACTTTTGTTTTATAGGGCATCACCACAGTGGTGGTTAGTTACCTTTTAATATTTTTCTGGTTTGAAATCCTAGACTTTTCATCCTGCACTTTTGTGTGTATGAGAGAGACTGTGAATCTGTGGGCTTAAGAAATTCACTTGTATTATAAAATATATGTATAGGTCAAACTTTATAAGTCTACATTTGTGTGGCAGTTTATGAAGATGTAATCCAGTTTATCAAGATCTAGTTTTAAAAACGTTCATTTCTGCAATATTGTCACAGATTTATAGAGGTGGGACTGAATGTTTGAAGTTTAATCAGAGAAAATTACACTAGTTACTGCTTCCTTTTGTGATAGAGTTCTTTGAAATATGGACTGAACTGGCTCCCACGGAGGAAGATATAGCTGGGTACATTCTCAATCTTGCGGATGAAGCTGGGCACCCACACAGACCTTAAAATGAAGCCCTGTGCCACTGTCATACTGTCTCCCCATAACAGATGACCTTCTTTGAACAGCTGTTTCATTGGGTGACTGTGGGTATTTGTTGCACTATATAGTGTCACTCACTGGAGGCAATAACTGCTGATATTTTGACTTTTTAAAAAACAATTTTTAGGTTAATGCATCATATTATAACACCTGATCAATTCATAGACATGTGACTGTGAACTTTATGTAGGTAAATGCTAGACAACATGTAGCTGTAGAACTTCATTGCCTCGTTGCACTTGCCATTTTATCTTGTTTGTGAAGTAATTGCACTTAATTGCTTTTGTTTCGTAAAGGCCTTGTAATACCTGGATAAGTGTCACAGTATCAGCATGTGCAACAGTTTAATAGTATTGATGCTTTAATTCAGTCACACATGATTCCGTTACATTGACTGTACAGTTGATGTGCATTTATAATCTTAAGGTTTAATGGAATAACTGTAGTGATCTGTTTGACATGAACTCTTTATCTATGTGTAAGTTGGACCAAAAGTTAATTATAGGGCATGACTCCTATAACATTCATTATGAAACATAATTGGGATGAATTAACATTTGAGAGTGAACTAATTTGCTTGTTTTCTTTTGCAGCTTAATGAGTTGCAAACGAAACTTTTGTTTTATAGGGCATCACCACAGTGGTGGTTAGTTACCTTTTAATATTTTTCTGGTTTGAAATCCTAGACTTTTCATCCTGCACTTTTGTGTGTATGAGAGAGACTGTGAATCTGTGGGCTTAAGAAATTCACTTGTATTATAAAATATATGTATAGGTCAAACTTTATAAGTCTACATTTGTGTGGCAGTTTATGAAGATGTAATCCAGTTTATCAAGATCTAGTTTTAAAAACGTTCATTTCTGCAATATTGTCACAGATTTATAGAGGTGGGACTGAATGTTTGAAGTTTAATCAGAGAAAATTACACTAGTTACTGCTTCCTTTTGTGATAGAGTTCTTTGAAATATGGACTGAACTGGGTTGTTCACTGTTCCCTTTTCTTGTGTAAATCTTAAATAAAGTAAATTTAATATTTTGTTCTAGCTAGTTCTTGATTGAAGGCTGTAAGAGTTCCCACTACTTCCACTGGGCTGCAGTGTTGAGCAAATAAAGAATAATTTCTCTGTTTATCTGGAATACTAACTATAGACAATCTAATCATGACTAGATTCAGCAAGGCTTGTTTTGACACCAATTTATTTATTTGATTTTGAAAGCAGTATTCAAATATTGCTGAACATATACAGCATTCAGGCATATTTTCAAGTCATTATACCACGTCCTTATCAAAACAGCTTAACCATCTGTTGGTATACAAAATGTGCAAGTTCAAGTATACAAGATTTTGTGACAAAAATACAATGCCACCCCATAGGTTGGCCAACAGAATAACAGCCCCAGATATTCAAGTTGCAAACAAACTAGTTTATCAAGGCACATTTTTCTTACAGTTGCCAATGCCTTTTTTACATAAAACATTTATCTGAACAAAAGAATACATTGTTCAAGTTACAAACCCGAAGACTTCCTCATTAGAAAAGGTAACAAATGTATGCTCCCTCAAAACATGTCCATCATAAGGCACCAAGACGCATGGCTCCATGACTTGCTACCAGAATTATGTATTTCCATGACTCTGGTGCAAGATAAGGTTTTATGCTGATGTCTGGTCTACTCATATGGACCCATGTTCTAGCCTATCTATCACCCTGCCATGTTTATAAGGCTTGTTCAGCCAAAGCTTCTGACTTGACAGCATCCACTAGGAAGCTGAGCTCATTGCACAAGGTCTCGTGCCGATAGGCCATTCGGATCTGCGCCACATTTGTCCTACGGATGTCATTTCCCTCTTGTCCATCCTGTAGATAATTCTCACCCAGGAAGTGTTTCTTCTCCTGCGAGGGAAATTTAAATGTCAGGTTAAGCTAGAAAAACATTCAGATTTTTTGTGTATGAAAGGGCTATAGCATATGGATGTTCAATTTAGCATTGGAATGCGTTTAATAGTAGCACTGGAAGATTTTTCTTTAGGAAATATTCTGGGTTCAGTACAAGTTAAACTCAATAGTATTTGTGGCATACATTTTTCGACTTAAAAAATGGCGACAATCTGGTTTACAGTGAGGTGCTTCATAAATGTTACTACAGTGTACAATGTACTACAGTGACCAATTCATAAATGTTCAAATTCTCACTGCTTCAATTGTATAGCCATAAGACAATATGCATGTTAACATGATTTTTCTGTTCTGTGTAAAGTTATATTTAATTTTACAACTTAGTTACCATGACCATAAACTCTAAATGGTCATAAATACCAATGCTAAAAAAAGTCTAAAACCCTAAAATGACTGTAAAAATTACATATCAAATAAGTTTTAACAGAAGAATAAATGTAAGTGCTTTTATTAACTTAAAAGCTTCACATTTCTAAAAATTCGCCCCATTTACTTACATTGACTGTTCCTCAATGTCACCTCGATTTTTGCTTTTCTTTAATGGAAACGAGGGAGGAGCTGAGTTTATTTGTAAATCTGAATCCACAATATTATATTGAAACTGTATGGTGTCCAAGCCATTTAAAAGATTGAAAACCCCTGCTTTATAGGGTAGGACAGAGAGAGTACCTGATGAGACAGACCACTCTGAAGCACACTATTTCTGGCGATCTCACACACATCACATGTGCTCAGTTTCCACAGTTGTGCTGCAATGGCATACTCCTCCATCAAGGCCTCCTGAAGGTACATAAACAACATAAAATCACATCACCTGACTGCTCTAGATGATTGCACTCAAAGTAGATTAATAAGCAACTCATTCAGTGCACATTATTTCCAGTAACTCCCTGACCTTTGTGTAGTGGAACTGTAATGGGTCATCTGTGGAGAGAGACACACACAAGCCCTTTTGCAGGAACTCCCTGAGGGGATTCTTGGAATACTCCAGGAACAGGCTGTTATTGCTGAGTGGAGACATTGCAATGGGCACCTGGGTCAAATAATACAGGTACTGCAGGACAGGACTCTGTATTGAGAAATTGAATAAGAACAATTGTTAAATCACAAGATAAGACTACATTAATACAATTAACTGGCATCTGATGAGTTTTTTTGGTTGTTTTTTTTTAAGCGTAAATGTGTTATATGAATAAACAGTGCTCATAAACAGCTGTTGAGATCATATTCTCAAGTGAAACAAGTAGAGGCTTGGAGTAGGAAACAATGTTCCTTATGTCACAACTTAGCAAGCTAATTGTTTGTTATTTGGTGGATTCTGAAACTACAGTGTTGTGTGGTTCGACGTGCACACAGTCCTCTTTGGGACTGACCTTCTTCAGATTGAGTCCATGAGAGATGTTGTCAGCTGTGAGGAAGGCTGATACCAGATGGGTGATGGATCCAGCCTCGCCACAGTGAGGACGGAACTGAAAGGTATTGAGACCACATTCTCTGAAAAAAAAAAAAAAAAACACATATTCAACTATTAAATGGTTTGTGACTTCAATTATAAAGCTTTCGGCTAAATTTGAGGAGATTAGCTTGTCTATTAATTTGTTATGTGATGACAATGGATTTTAATGCTGGAATCAGCTTGACTTACTTTCGTAGGTTGTTGAGGACCATGATGTTGGCATACATGTGGAAGAGATAGTAAGTGTATGGTGGGTTTTGCTCCGTGGTCCACTCCTCAGGTTTTGGACTCTTATAGCTGAACATGTGATCACTGTGTTTGGACTCATCATCTACACTGTCAAACCCTGTCACCTGCAGACAAACATCCAAAGCTTTGCTGAAATCTATCCACGGTCACTTTTTGCCCTTAATTTCTTTAAGGCTTGTGGCTTTAATAAAGACTGATCAGGCTTTTCAAATATAGAGGTGCAATTACTTTGACTTCGGTGACATCAACGACACACTGACTACATTACTGACTTCAGTGGAACCACATCTATGTTCTCTGTTTGTTTTTGTGATTTTATTGTGCGTGACAATTTTACATGAAGTCATAGTCATCTGAGAACCATTTAATTGTTCAGAAGGGATCTGGCATGAAAGCTTGATCCTCTAGTAAAATGACTGTTTTGTGTTTAAGCTGGTAATTGCACTGTTGGTTATTAAAATGTTCTTAGGTGGCATGAATCTGCTCTGCCTGTCTTGTGGTGTGATGAATCACTTACATGTTTCAGGAAGACATGCATTTCTTTGTGTTTCTGAGGGTTAACGGTGGCCTGAAACAGTGGGAGGAAGATGTTCTCTAGCATCTTGGCGAAGTTGGGAACAATCTTCTTTGATCTGAATATGTCACTAAAACCAAAGTACACAATTTTAATTTAGGAAGCAGAACTAAAATTAAATATAAGAAATATGTATGTAATTTACATATACATTATATATAATACATTTTTAAAATTATATTATATTTAAGAATTAAGAATTGTATAATATATATATAATTTCTTATATATTTTAAAATAATTACGTGTAAGTATTAAATAGACATTTTTTTCATTATTTTATTATTATTATTGAAAATATATATACAAGACATTTTATATTATTTATATTTATTTTATATTACATTTGAAATTTTTATTTTAAATTGGTATGTTAAGTTACATTAGAGAAGGACTTACTAGATCCTGGGCACCTGTATGATCCATCTCATGTTAGGGGAGTGCAACTTTTGCTTGATAAACCATTTGGACAGGTTTATGTCACTAAAACCAAAGTACACAATTTTAATTTAGGAAGCAGAACTAAAATTAAATATAAGAAATATGTATGTAATTTACATATACATTATATATAATACATTTTTAAAATTATATTATATTTAAGAATTAAGAATTGTATAATATATATATAATTTCTTATATAT